TGACGGGTAGGAGGAGATGGGTGGGTAGGGTGACAGGTTTTGGGGTGGGGTAGTCGTGTAATAGGCATGGGCATGGTAAGGGTAGGGAGCAAGAGTGGGCTAAGGGCCCAGCACCCCAGGGTTAGGGTTTGGGTAAGGGGAGTTCTAGGAACTTTGCCCGTCCGTTGGAGGTCGTTGTCTCGATCCGCCGTTTGAGCACCCTCGACCACGACCCCAGTTGCCGTTTCCGCGCCCTTGTCCGCGTCCAAAGCCACCACGCTGCCCGGAGGAAGATCCATCACCATAGTTGCTGCCAAAGAAGTGTCCCCCATTACCGGAGTTGCTGTCGTGAGGAGCGCCGCGGCTGCCGCCGCTGCTGTGCTAGCCGCCCGTGAAGCTGTCGCTGTCCCGACCCACCAACAGCACCGTGCTGCTGGTTCCGCCCAGGGGGGTCCGCTGCCGGTCAAGGAGGAGAAGGGCCGACCAAACTTGGAGAAAACTCGGCATGGGATCCTGAAATTGGAGGAATGAGGTTTGAGCTTGGAGATCGTCGAGGAGGCCGCGTAGTATCTGAATAATCAATTGGTGCTCTAACATGGGGGCATCGACATCATCCAACCAATCTGTAATATTTCGGAGTTCTTGACAATAAGTGGTCATGGGAGTTGATCCCTTGACGGTGGTACGAAATTGGTGCTCGAGTTGCATGGCGCGAGCATGTTTGTTGTCGTGAAACAAGTCATGAATCACCGTCCAGAGAGCAAAGGCAGTAGACACAGACGAAAGAACCAGATCAGAAACTTCATCAGTAATAGTGGAGAGAATCCAGCCTTGGAGGATGGCGTTAAGCTGGAACCATTCATCATCGTCGTATGATAGGGGGACAATGGAGCCGTTGAGATAACCCTGAAGATTAAACCGCCGTGCAAGGAGAAGGAACAAGTGGCTCCACTTTTTGTAATTTGGTTGAGAAAAGCTGAGTTGTATAGGGACATGGAGTTTGACGTTGGAGACAGAGAAAGCCAGATGCGGAGGTTTTTGGGTGGAAGATTGAGAGGTGAGCTCACTTTCGGCCATCGTAGGAGAGGGGAGGGGCTGCCGGACGAGAGAGGGAGAGGGAGAGGGGCGGCGGCGCTGGTTGATCGGCGAAGGGAGGAGGCCGAAGACAGGAGGAGTATTTTTAGGGTTTTTGGTTAGGCTTCGATATCATGAAGAAAGATTATTTTCATTAATTGAATTGTGTAAAGAGTACATATATATATATATATATATATATATATATATATATATATATATATATATATATATATATATATATATATATATATATATATATATATATATATATATATCTCCGTCCTATAATGATCTTCCCAGAGCACTATTCCAACTTCACGGGAATTTATATTTATTTGTGTTTTTTCATGGTCTATATGATAAAATAAAATATTCTTGTCACCACTTGTTTTGTTGAACTTTTGATGTAGTTTTTTAAATATGTACTCCCTCCGTCCCCCTAAGATCTTCTCGTTTTGATTTTTTGCGGTTTTTAAGGAGAGTTGAAAAAAGGTGAAAGTTTACCAAAATACCCTTAATGAAAATGGGTGGGGTGTATTAAATAAGGTGGAAAAGGTGTAATAAATAAAGTAAGTGTGGGTAGTTGTGGTATTTTAAATGTTAAAAAAGGTAATGAGAAGATCTATGTGGGACAAATAAAAAAGGTTAATGGGAAGATCTATGGGGGACAGAGGGAGTATGTTTTATTTTTTATTTCTATACCAATATTTAAATAAAATAGATTGAAAAAATTTGGGATTTTTCTTCGTTTTGCGAACCGGGAAGATCATTATAGGACGGAGAGAGTACTAAGAGTCTCAATTTTAATTATGGTAGGAGAGACATAATAGGAACAATAATTATACAATAATATTAAAAAATATTTTATATTTTTAACAATCATCACCTCGCTGCAATAGCTATATCTCCAAGAGCACCTCCTTGGGCGACCTCTGCATCTTGAACGACCAAAAGCTAGTTCTCAGAACTAAACCCAGAAGTAATCGTCTGGTACAAAATGAAAGTTATAGGCGAACTCAAATTTCGCAGTCTTCTCATAATTCTCTTTGCGATTTCCTCACTCATCCCCTCCATCGATTCAACCATGGAACTGCCCACTGTTGCGGACCCGGTTCCGACCCCATGGCCGGTGCAATTCCACTCGGTCCTCTTCATGAACAATTCGAAAGGGGTCCTGCAAATGGTGGACCTCTGGTACGACTGGCTCAATAGAAGGAATTTCAACATAATACAGAACCAGCTGGGAAAGCTGCTGTATGACTTGGAATGGGGCAATGGAACTTCCTTCTATTACACTCTTGACAAGAACCAGGAGTGCCGGACCCTTCATTTTCCTGTGGGAATTCTTAGACCAGATTTTCTTGAGGGGGCTAAGTATCTGGGCCAGAAATACATGGATGGGTTCCTGTGTAATGTCTGGGAAAAAGTTGATTTCATCTGGTATTATGAAGATGTTGCTACCAAAAGACCTGTTTATTGGGCTTTCTTCACAGGAAGTGTTGCTCATGTGATGACATTTGAAGTGGGGAAAGTGCTGAAGGACCCTAATTGGCAAGCCCCTGTCTACTGCTTTAACAAGAATTCCACACTTTCTCATTTTGCTGCCCCGAATTTCGATGGCAATCTCATTAGAGGAGGAGCTATGCGTTCCTCTGACACGTTCTAGTTGTGTTTATTTTCTCTAATAACTTTATTTTGTGCTGGTGATGCAAAATAAAATGAAATCCAATAACTCAATGAGTACTATGTGTAGTTTTTAATCAGCTTTATGTATGCATATTACCAACCATGGTCTATGGGAGGGAGGAATTGCAAGAATCAATATTTTAGTGGGAATGCGTTGTAGCTCTTGACTCTTTGTAATTTCTTTGCTTGGGGTCTAGTGTTAGGGTTGGTTTCTGTGCTTCTTTATGTGTGATTTATTTGCCTTTAGTTTGCTCTTTAATCTTTGACCTTTGCTACTACCTTGTTACTACCTTTGCAACAATCAGCTTTATGACCTTTGCTGCCCTTTGTAGTTTTTAATCAGCTTTATGACCTTTGCTACTACCTTTGCAACTAGTCTTGATTGCCAATGAAAGGAGTACTACCAGTCATTGTTCATTTGTTTGCTTGCATTTCTGAGATCTTTGGGGGTGAAATCCATGGTGCTTTCTGCAGCAGATGAAGCTGAATCTATTTGGACAATGTCATTCCGATTCCAAAAGATTAATCCTGAAGCACTACAAAGAAAACTATCAAGTGATGGTTTTTCACGGAACGTCAATGCTACTGAAGCAAATATTTGAATCTTGAAAGGATCACTTCTGTTGGAGAGATAAACGTTTTCTTGTTTTCATTGTAAATCATTTTTGAGGTGACAAATGAAAATGTGTATAGCTGATGGGTTTTATTCTTTGTATATATAACCTGTGGTAGAAATGTAGAATAGCATTGCAGTGATCATCAATCAGTACAAATGAATTGGGGAATTTGGTCCCTTTTCAGTTGTTTGGAATATTAATATACTCCATCCATTCCAAAAACAAAAGCTATATACTCCTTCCCTTAAAGAAAAACCTTTCCACCCATGGAACAGTGGGCCTCCACGACCCACGAAATGCGGGGATGGAAGACGGGGGTGGGCGGGTCAACTCTGTGGTTGTTGAACTTCACCTCCTCGTAGATTTGCGGCCTCGGGAGGCTCTTTCCATTGCGATTGCCGGGTGGGCTGATGCTAGTGGTTGTGGCTGGTTGTGGTGGCGGGGGCTGGTGGGGGTTGGGTGTGGTGGGGTTCAAGCGGAAAAGCAGGGAAGGGCAGCAGGGGATTTGATTTCAGTTCAGGATTTGGTGACTTCTGGATGAGTTATGGACACAATTCCACTCAAAAGTTATGTTCTAAAGCTTTTTAAATTTCTTTTTATGCTCTGAGAGTCTGAGTTCATATAAAGATAAGTTCCAAAACGTATTGAACCATACATGATAATGTAAATGGCTGTGTATCGATTACATAAGAACATAGTATGTAGAAGCTCTGGTAACTCAGTTTAGGTCATATACAGTCTATGCTTGGTAAAATGAGGACAACGGAGTAGAAGTTTGATGTTTATAAAGCAAGCAGATTCACAATAGGTTTTTTAGTAGATAATCATATACTCTTAAATAAGTATAAGACAAAAATACCATGCCTATATAATGCGTAGTACCTTTTGTTAGTTCCTCTACTGTTTGTTTTTTCAGTATGCCCATCGGATTACAGGTCTCTAGTTCGGTAAGCTAGATCAGATTACATACATCAACTTCCCCCCCCCCCCGGATGCTTTTTATCTTTCTGAGGCCACAATATGTTGCTTCATCTTTCTCTTTTTATGGCATTCAAGGAGACTCACCTTAAACTAAGAACATCTTATTAATATCAGGGCAGAGGAAAAATGTGTACATGTGAAGGAATTGGACTCAGCTTTGAAATTATATTTTAGTAAATGAATGAGCGGTTGGATCTTTCCAGTTTGTTTGGCTTAGTGAGTAATTATAAAACCAGGTTCTAGGCGTCAGGTTTTAGATCACCTTAGTGGTTTTGACTTTGGTTCCGATCCTCTCATCTGGTTTATTCAGCGCCTATGGGTTTTCGGTCAGGGATTTATAACTTCTGTTTCTTTTGATTTATGGGTGTTTAGGATTTCAATTTTTGCCTTTCAGTTTGGGGTCCGGTTTTGGCAGCAGACTTTTCCACTAGTCCACTACATCCTTTTATTCTTATTGCAAAACTTGGAAACAAATCAACCAGAAGAATGAAGAAATTGTACATCTGAATACAACAACATTCTAATGAGCGTAGTGTTCCAGTTGGTATTTGCCCCTTTTTGGTTTCCAATTTTTTACGGGTTTAGAGGTATGGCCAGTTTTTATTTCTCCCTTTTTGGTCTTTGGTTTCCACATTTATGTAATCAACTAATCGTTGTGTCTTTCATTTTTTATTTCATTAGAGAAATTTAATTAAAATTACATTTGTATGTTTAATTCTAAGGCACAAGATGGTGATGGGTTTCTAATGTGGGAAGGACCTGCACCCATTGATAATAGTCAGAAACAATGCAACCTTTTGCTCATTAAAAAAGTATTATACTATTATTGCGTTCAATTTTGGGATAAAAGGAAAATGATTAGGTATTTTTATTCTCCATTATTTGAAATGTAATATAAACAAAAATGACATTGACCCCTATCACCTATCCATTCCATCTTATAGTGCTACCAAAGTATAGTGTGTTTCTTCTCCATATGATACATAGTTTTAGACTTTTAGTTTTGTTTGAATGGTCACTCGATCATCCTATGTTTTGTTGCAAATAGTATGTAGTATTGTATCAATTTTGTCACATAAATGATATTTTACATAACCACACAAGTGTTCGTCATTTTATGACAAACACTATTTCTTTTGCCAGGTTCTGATGCTCTTCTTCTTCCCTTATTAAATTTACTTTGGCTGTTGCTGGTTTGTTCGGCTGAGAAGGTCTTGAGTTGCTCAATGGTGGTATTCAGGGTGAGTTGAATTAATTTCACCCAATGACTGTTGGTATATTTTATCACAATCAATTTGCATCATAAAGGGTTTGTGTTCATTTGGTTGTGTGGGTGGATTCACTACAGACAGATGTTTCGCTTTCAATCAAACCTTTATCTTCTGATTTACCTGGGAAAAATCATCAGGTTGACTCAAACCGGGGGGGGGCAGAGAGTTTAAAATGCCATGCACCCACGGTCGATTCTGCCCTTGCATCAATATACACAAGGTTTGCTGTTTAATTTTCTGCCATTAACTTTCTTATTACTCTTTAAGTCTTTATATTCTTTGATTTTGAATGTTAGTGAATTCAAATTTCTGAGAGCATTATCAGTGTGTGCTTAGTGACTTCGAATTCAAAACCTTTAGGGTACTTAAATAGAGTTACCTAATGGTCAAAATTGTTACAGGGGTAAGAAAAGCAGATTGTTGGATCTACACTGCTGTCACTGCAGGACGCTAAAGATGGAGATTTGAGTCATGTAACCAATTTCATATTGCATAAGTTGGCTTCCGATGTATTACGATTTACAAAGACGATGTGCTTACTGGTGGTCATGTAATCATGCTTGGAGCTGACACCATTAGCCAAACAACGACAATGGAAGCAATATTTGCTTATCCAGGTATCCTACTGGTTTTTATGTTCCTTCGGATGATCACGTGGTCGATCTATCGCAGTTAATTTCATGAGGTGCCCGTTTTTTTGGTATATCGAGTGTTCATTATGCTTGGATACTTTTGGGCTGCTGCACTTGGATTATTTCTTTTTCAAGTACTTTTATATAATCCCCTCGCTTTTCTATCATTCGGAATTTCCTCTGTTTTACGTGATCCAAATGCACCTTAAGACTTGGAAGAATATGTTACTTTGGTAGACACATAAAATTTCCTCCATGTTTATTTTGACTTCATATTTGGTCTAACGATGTTTTTCCACAAGACAAGTCGATCTGAGTTCATTTTGAGTGTAAACAAATATATTGAAGCTCAAAATTGCAAGCTCTTTCCTGGGATGGGCTTTAAGATGAGGTTTGGGGGCGAGGAAGTCCCTGAAAGAAGGTATTCAAGCTATTGACTAGAACTATGTTGATACTGGAGGTGTTCTGCAATTACTCTATCCGGCCTAAACTCCTAATCTATTTATTACTTATTTCTTTCAGATTTAGTTTTTTTTTCACTTAAATCTTTTTTCTACTTCCAAAAATACCTCAAAGTTGGAAGAGCGTTTTTATCTTTGAGCTCAAAGTTTGTAGGAGGAGGGCCTCTCTGTGCCGCCAGGAATTGTATTAGTAGCATACCTCTCCTCAACCATGGCGACTCAATCCCGATGGATTCTAATTTAAGGTTTAAGTAATAATGATGTTTTTTTGTGTGCATTTTATGGGGTTTCTTTCTCAGCCCAAAATGTATTTGTTGAAGATGTGTCCAGTTTTGCAAGTCCAGCCTGCTTGAATAGTATTCTTTTTGTTGTTTGTTTTGTTTTTGTTCATTTACGAAGTATAATATTTCCTGGGTTTTGATTGTGGGGCATTATTCGTTGTATGCTGCTGTTCAATTGATAGTAGCAGCAAACTCAATTTTTGCTGTAGAGAACACAGAGACCTTTGATAAATGTGCTTTTTGTTCTGTTGCATCAGGCTTCATGTTTCTTATATTCAGGGAATTAGGTTTATTCGATTTATTTTCTCCCATGCTTAACCTTCACCACTAATAGTCTTTTTTCGGTTTTAGAAAATGAATTCTTCTGTGTTTTGAAGGTCAAAATTGTAGCAGGTCAAACTTTCTTAAATTGTGTTCATGAGTAGCTGTAATTTCTGATGCGTGTTTTGCTATGTGCCAAAATTCTTTGGAGGCAAGTTTTGTTTACTTGATTTGTATCCTTTGTGGCACCATTACCTGTAAATTTTCTACCTTTAGAGCAATGATATTTTACAAGGTGAACATCTACCCTTTTTTGTGTTACTTTTGAACATTGATGCATAAAAACTTGAAATTTGAAAAGAAGAGGGTAGTCAAATTTTGGAAGGAAAATTATTTACTTCTCACATTCCCTTTGAGAAATGAAACATTAGAAAGGTATGTGAATGGAACAAAATCTAGAGATTACACTTAAGTACTTGTGGTATGTATCAAAATGTTATGCAAACAGTTCATTCATGGTTTGAACTACAAATCATGCACTGTTTTTCTTGGGCTGCTCTTATGGATGGTGCTCTTCATTACTTTTCTCTTTCTCATCAATGGGACCTTCAGCTGATTTATCAACCACTCTTACCACTCCTAATTAACCATCTCTTCATTAACTGAGCTTGTTATGGTCCCCTACGGGAAACAGTTTATATAGGATGCGTTTCTGTTTTCTTGAATTCTTTCCCGTTAAATCTATGACAAGGATGTTATTCATTTTCTTCAACTAGCATTGAATTTCAATTTAAACGTCGTATCATATTTTCTTAAAATTTTGAATGGAAAAACATCAAACTTGTTCTTGAGTATAATTTCACCAGTGAACATGCAGGGTATGGAGCAGCATGATGAAGACTATGCTTATGTCCCTACAAAAAAATGTAAAGCCATGGTATGGTACTCACTTTCTGCTAATCCTCATGAGTTGTAGGCTACTGATTCGAAATTGTAGCCTTTTTTATACTTCTAACAACCATATCTTCTATATAATACACTTTTGAGATATTTTATCATTTTAAGCTATTCATTCATAATAATTATATTTTATAAATTAGCATTAAATGTTTATATACGTGTTAAATAATCTAATTGAATTAAATGTTTTAATTTAGAAAAAAATACATGAGTAAAATAGAAAATTGAGTTCATCCTAAAAAATTCACCTATGCATTTTTTGGTTTATATTATTTCTCATTCAGGGTAAAATCTTCTGTGGTCCTTAAATCTATACTAATTTTATGGACCTTCATATCTGAAATAATTATATGTATTGAACCTTTTAAAAATAAGGAGACTATGAGTTCATATAAAATATGTGAGAAGGTTCACATTAGACTTGGTAATCGAATCAGTTTTAGTTCAGATTTTTTTGGTTTAGATATGCTTCAAATATACATTTTAATCGGTTCAGTTTAAATTTGGTTTGGTTTAATTTAGGTTTGGATTTAATTCAGTTTCATACATTTCTTGGTTTTGGTTTGGTTCATGGTTGGTTCTGATATGGTTCAGATATATTTCGGTTTGAATATATATCAGTTTAGGATATATTCCGGTTTGGCTTTCGATTTTAGATGTATTTCGATTTCAGATATATTTTGAATATATGATATTTTCAAATTAAAAATTAATTATCTGTGTTTCTTGTTTTGTCATATCATATATACCAATCTATCATCAATTTATCACCTCATAGTATTTTATATTTTTTCTAATTATATTCTCTTCTCCCAAGATGATAGGTAAGTTCTACGTAGTTAGACTAGCTATGCTCCATGGGGCGGAGTGTTGGGTGGTTATGAAGGAACATGTGTCGTCTACATGCGGCAGATATGCGGATGTTGCGGTGGATGTGTGGGCAGACAAGGCTGGATAAGATTGAGAACGAGGTTATTCGAGGTCGGCTAGGCATGACGCTAGAGGTTGAGGTGGTTCGGTCAATAGAGACGGTAGAGTACTGACGCTCTAGTGCAAAGATACGAGAGACTTTCATTGGTAGAGAGAAGTAGGGGAAGAGGTAGACCTAGAAAAAGTTAAAAAAAGGTGATTAGAGAGGACTTAGGAATGCTTAACCTTAACGAAGATACAACTTTAGATAGGAGAGTTTAGAGGGATATGATTAGAGTAGTTGGGTAGGTACCTTGTGATAGGGGTTGGAGTTGTTATGAGCTTGATATACCTTTTATGCTTAGAGCTTTTTGCTATTTGCTTGCAATACTCTTACTTTATAATTTAACTTTTTTTTTTGGGTGTGGAGTGCTTTGTCTATGTTTTATCAGTGCTCTCCATATTCCATGCATATGTTGTGATCCTTCTTTTTGTGCAGCTTAAGTCGGGAGTCTCTTGGAAATAGTCTCTCTACTTCAGATAGGGGCAAAGTCTGCGTATACACACCCTTTCCAAACCCTATTTTTGTGGGATCATTGGACTCTTGTTGTTAAATTGATTTTTAACATGTAGTTTTAATATATCTCAATTTTATAATATTTATCATCTTTCTTTTTATTTATCCAAAGATACAATTGAATTAAATTGAATCCAATTGGATAATAATTGAGTGAACTTAGATGAAATTAATTGAAATTTGCACAATTTTATTCTTTAAAATTATTGCAATTGAATAAGATTTAATTCAACTAAGTGTAAATTTAGTGAAATTATTAAAAATTTAATCATTTTATTATAATTAGATGAAATCAAATACAAGTATGTTAAATTCAAGTGAAATTGAACACATTTGGATGAAATTATATAAAATCTACTATAGATATAAAAGCAGAATGAAATTTCTGCCCAAATCAATTTCCAAATTTGCCACAAAAAACATAGATCTAAGGGTCCAATTTTTATTTAAATACTTTGCACAAATCTTAACCCTTAATTAAATGCAATGACAATTGTATAATAAAAATAAAGTTGATGGCCGTCACTAAATTCTAGCACGGCACCCAGCAAAGTGTGACCCACTTTCTCTTCTACATTTAGAGTATTTTTAACACAGGGGGGCTCTTGTTGTTGAATTTATTTTTAACATGTAGTTTTAATATATCTAATATTTATAATATTTATCATCTTTATTTTTATTTATCCAAAGATAAATTTCAATAGTGTTCCATTCCAATTGAATGAATTTGAATCCAATTGGATAATAATTGAGTGAACTTAGATGAAATTAGTTCAACTTCGCACAATTTTACTCTTTAAAATTATTGCAATTGAATAATATCGAATAAACTAAGGGGGCGTATTCAATTAAGATTTCAAAAGATTTTGATAGATTATTTGAAATCTATGAATTATGTAAAATCAATAGATTGTTTAAAGTTTATACAGAGTTAGATTGATTTTAATATATTTTTAACAAGATTTTATTAAACTTTCTGTGATTATTTATTATCTATGCAGAATAATCTTGAGGAATCTAGGACAATTGTTGTCACTCTAACTCCAACTCCAACTCCTCCGTCTTTTCAAACCCAATCTAGAGTTTCAAAACCAACCAGCACAGCAGCAGCCAAGTACGTACCCTGAGTGGAGATCTGGATTTGGACTCTGGAGGTGGCTCTTAACTCGGAATTGTAATCATCTGGTCGAACTTTCCCTGGATAATTCTGAACGCTATTTACTCCGAATCAATGGCGACAAAGTGGCCATGGCAACCCCTACTCCCGGCGAGAACTCTTCTTCTATATAACCATATCTGTTAAAATCATTGGATGTTAGGAGAGATTTGTGAAATGATTTTTCTTAAGAAAAATAATCTCAAAATCCATCAAAATCCACATATAATACTCCCTGTAACACCCTAATCCGTCCAAGTTTGCAGCCCCTTTCGAACTAACGTATTAATTTGAAAATCGTAAAAATTTAAAACATTTCAACACCTTTATTCATCATAAAAATTATTCAATACATAACTGTGGTAAAATACGGAGTGTTTAATAATAGTGCGGAAACAAATTTAAACCATGTTTCATAACAACACAATTATTCATTTAAAATCATAAATTCCACCACGAGTCTCGCCCCTTCCGCTGCCAGGAACATGCCAATCACTCATTCTGCCTACCTGCGTGTAGCAAATAAAAGACACTACACGCTCAGCGACGAAGCTGAGTAAGCATATCTAAAGCGCTGAACATCCACATAAATTGAATCTCAATTCACAAACAACCATTTGATATCATGCACACAATATATGATTCATTCATGATATTCTCAATATTTTTATTTCAACATTCATATTCAATATTCAATATTCAACAATATCCTTAAGCTATGCCTTAGTCTAAGACCAATCTTTTTTATGTTTACCAACTCTTAAACTAATTTTACTTCAACGTACTTCTATCCAACTCTTAAGCTAGGTCATTAGTTTAAGGTACATATATTCCGATTGATTTACCAACTCTTAAATTAGTCTTCGCTTAAGATACAAATCCAGAAAACCAAACAGTAGAATACTAACTGTCGGGTTGGGTGGTATCCCCAAACGAGTGCCTCTAGTTTGGTTTGTAGATCCCGTACGTACGTTTTTTACCCAAGGCTACCGAATATACATATTTATACCCGCAAGACCCAATCTAATTTGAGGTCTATCTTAGAGGTCTTCTAAATAGCCTTAACAATACAACGTATTTTTCATTAATTCATTTATTTTGAATCTTAGTTCAATAATTCATAATCATCATTTCATTCAGCATAATTATCATCAACAATCCATAATAGTCATTATAATCAACAATCAACCAATCATCATAATATCTAATAACAATAAGCGGCCTAGTGTCGAGTGTTAACACCCTATGTAATGCCCCAAAACATACCCTAGAATTATTAATGAATAAATATTCAATTATTCAAATTTGTTTTGATTAAAAATAAATTGTTGATTGGGCTTTGGGCCAAAATAAAATATGTGTTGATAACCAATAAACATAATTGGAAGATAAATCCAATATGTTGATTTATTGTGTGACCTTGATTGAGAATATGAGTACAGACCCAAATCAAGAATAAATGAAGAAATTAATTGTGATGTGAACTTTGAAATGATTTGTTGAAATAAATCATGAGAACAAATGATATGAATTAAATGTGAGAACCTTTTTGAATAAAGGTTAATTGAATGAATTTTTACTCTGTCAAAGTCAAACACTCAAAAATATGATGTCAGAAAAAGTATTACAAATAATCATGAAAATTATATCGATGAATAGAGCTTGACTGTCTGACCATAACGGTTCAATCGGATTTTAATTCGGAAAAGTTGGACCAAAAAGTGTACCCCGACTGGGACTGAAATTAGTCCCAATCAGGGACTTGCGTTTGAAATCCAGCACAATCGCCGTTCACTCCACTCGGCCGCACAAACAGGAGAGGACATTGGCAGCTTCCTCCTCTTCTCTACTATATAAGCACACTCAACTTCCTCCATTCTCCACCAAAACACTTCATATTTCTTTCTATCCTGCTGCTCTGAGTGAGGAAAACACTTTGGTGTTGCTAATTCAGTGAGAGGTCGCCGGAGTTGAGAGCTTTTGTCGCCGGAAGTTTCGCTGTTTTTTCGCCGGAATCCTCATTTAACTTCAAAGTAAGCCCGTAGATATATCTAATAATGACTAGAATGTTCATATAGGTCGTTTCTACGTTCATAAATGGTCATTTGGTTGAGTTTTGTGTTTGACATGCTTGAAGAACTAAGAATCACAAACCATGATTTTGATGTTAAAACTACGAATTAATGATGCCAAAATGATCTATGAACCTTGGAGAACACTTTTGTATACTTTAATTGAAGTTTGGAAACTTAAAATGACATTTCCGTAAGTTGGCTCGAGGTAGAAGACGATGGATAATCGATTATCAACTTGAAAATCGATTATTCATCGTTATGCAGATTTTTGGAACACAGCAGAGTAACAGTCGACTGCCAGAATGTGACAATTGACTGTCAGCCCTCTCTGAAGTTTGATAATCGATTATCAGAGTGTGATAATCGATTATCAGCCCATTCTGAACATCAGATAGTAGATTATCAGAAGTGATAGTAGACTGTCTCCCTACACTATTGAAGAAAATGAAGCCAGTAGTTAATAATTGAATTTCCTATCATATATTAATCAATTATTGTTTAGAAAACATGATTTTTGAGCTATGGAATCCTATTTTTGATACTAATCAATTATGATTAAAATAAAGATGGTTTCTTGGAATAAACATGAGGTTTTGACAACTAAGAGCAGTTTATGTGATGCATGACGGTAAGATAGGGTGTTAACACTCGACGCTAGTCCGCTAATTGTTATTAGATATTTTGATGATTGATTGATTATTGATTATAATGAATATTATGGATTAATGATGATGATTATTCTGAATGAAATGATGATTATGAAATGAATTGGATTATAGGATATCTAGAAGACCTCTAAGATATACCTAAGTTGACGTTGGTTTCTGAGACTATCTATAAGACCTCTAAAATGGCTTAGAAATAGGCCTTGCAGGTATAATTATGATTATTCGGTGGCCTGGGTTAAAACGTACGTACGGGATCTACAAACCAAACTTGAGGATCACTCGTTTGGGGATACCACCCAACCCGACAGTGAGCATTCCGCTGTTCGGTTTCTGTATAACCTTAAGCGAAGGTAAGTTTAAGAGTTTTTGTAAACCTCTCTTGAAATTTGCATCTTAAACTAGGCCTAGCTTAAGGTCTAGTTGGGAGTACCTTAAACTCGAATATAGTTTAAAGAAACTTAAACTAGAATTTGTTTAAGGATTGATAAATATATTGGCCTTAGACTAAGAATCGTTTAAGGATATTGTTGAATACGAATGTTGAATATTGATTTTGAATGTCGAATGTTGAATATGAAAATGAATGCTGAATATGGAATAATGAATGTTGAAAAATGAATATTCGAATTGAACATTATGTGCATGATATCAAATGGTTAATTATGAATTAAGATTCAATTTATGTGGATGTTCGACGTTTTAGATATGCTTACTTAGCTTTATTGTTGAGCGTGTAGTGTGTTTTATTTGCTACACGCAGCTTAATTGAACGATGTGACGTGATCCTGGAGGCAGACGGAGGAGAGATTGTCGGAATGGATGTGATGGTTTTGAATTGAAGAATATAAATAAATTATGTTTGCGATTATGATTTGTTAAGCTTTCGCAATATTGAAAACTCCGTACTGTTTATGTTATGAAAATAATTATTATAATAAATAAAAGTGTTTAAAATGTTTTAAATTTTACGATTACCAAGTTAATACTTTAGTCCGAAAGGGGCTGCAGACCTGGACAGATTAGGGTGTTACGTTTTGGTATCGGAGCAAATGGTTTTAAACCCGATCTTCGGATCAAAATTTTATTTTTTAAAAAAATGGTGGTCACATCGACGACTCTCGCATCCCTCTGCTCCAGGAAAGGTATGTGAATTTATTTGATAAACATTGATTGTGTTAAATTCTCATTAGATGACAATTGTTAGTATAAAAACTATATCGAGCTAGACTCGATTCGAACTTTC